AAGGCAAAACTTTTTTTCACTCAAGTTTCCACCACTGAACAAAATATCTGTCCCATGTCAAACTGAAACTTGCAGTTCAAATCATACTAACTTATAATTTTAAAACTACATTTTATTAATTGTATCTGTGTGTAAGTGGTTGGGAGGAATTTTACACTCAGATTGTGTCTCAAATTTGAAAAGAAAACATCAGTTTCAGTCTAAATTTGATATTTTCACATTTTTGTAGTCTCCATTCTCACTGCTAATGTGTGTGTGGGGGGTGCAAACACATTAATTTCAATTAGTTATTTTCATATTAACCCTACAGAACAGGTTTCATTATCCAAATTTTATTAAAACTATTTTTCCAGTATTATTAAACTTTAAAATGACCGAAAGGGTTAAGTAAGCTGAGGGAGTATTACTTTGTGTTTTAAACCCAGAACTTAGGTCACCGAATCTAAAGAGAACCATACTGCTGCAGCTAGATAAATGTTGGGAAATTTGACATTTCCTATGCAGATCCAGTGTAAGTACCCTAATATAGTAGGCTATATTTGTTATAATCTGAAAAATCTGAAAATCTTGTTGGTAAAGCAGCAGTTAATCATATTACACATTTAAGTACATTATGCTGTTGCATTAAGACTGTAGTCCATCTGTTTCTCTGCATACTTTCTATAAGTAACACCAGGGACAGGGATGAAAGGGGGAGATTCAAGACCACCAACAGTTTCAACCTGATCACTAGCCCCACCAGATAAAATGTCAGAAAATGAATGCTGAATTGTGGCCATCTTATCCAAATCAATGAAAGCACCAATAATAAACTACAATGTCCCCTAATGGCCAGCATCTGTAACAGCTTAAGCTAATGTCGAGTCACTACCAGTTCAGACACTGCAAGTTAATGCAATTAAATTGATCAGTAATCCAAAATTTATTTTAACATATGGCTGCTGTCAAAACAAAACCTGTAATCTCACAAATTATAACTTAACAGGAGAAGGAAGAACCTACTTTATTTTTAATGTAAGTCAAGTTTTTTACAAGTAATTTTGGGCCAGTTCTTTTTGGTCCATTCATCATGAAATTTACACACAATGTAAAGGCCAACAGGCTTTTTTCAAAGTATGTCAAAAACTTAAAAAATGACAAAAATGGAGATATAAGGTTTTCTTTCGACAGCAGCGATATGTTACTTTTTGTTTGTTTTTCATCTGGTGTTAAGCTTTTGAAGAAGACACTATATAAGGAACATTTGTGATTGTTAATATAAAGTGGGATCATTGCTTATGTGGGTGTAGTAGGTATAAGCTTCAAAGCTTCGAAAGCTTCAAAACTTCAATGCCAAGTTTTCAAGTAGTTTGTGACACTTACTGGGGTGGAATCACACAGGCCTGAACATTTTCTGTGGCACTTTAAGTTGGTTTAGACCAACAGAAATACGGTGTGTGCAATGCAAGAAATTATCATAACATCGTAATTGTACGAATAAGTTGAGTCACAGAATACAAAATAAAAATGAAAGATTATAAGCAAGAAAATTAAAAAAACAATTGAAGGAAAGAAAAACATAACCAAAACAAAGAAAGAAAGAAAGAAAGAAAGAAAGAAAGAAGACAAAGAAATGTAGAATAAAGGAAAAGCGTATGGGAAAAGATGGTGGAAAACTAATCAGCCTCTAACATGAGGTTTTGATGAGTTCAAGTTTAATAAATAATGAAAAAAAAAACAGCTGTTTAATGCATAGATGGATGGGTGAAAAAATTAAGGAATTAAAAGAGAAGTGAGAAGGTTGTGAAGCTATAGCAGAAAGGAAAAGCAGACTTCAGTGGAAACATTTCAAATAAGCACAGCCAATCAGCTTCAGTGCCATTATGACATCATCAATGAAAGTTGGAATTCAAATCAAGATTCCACCACACGTCTATTGAAAATATACAAATTTTAAGTAATTTTTTTAAAACGTGACATTTATGAAAATCTAACACATCTTACTGAAATTATCTTAGAAATGATAGCAGAACTGAGTTTATATGTTACATGGTTTGTTCTGAAATTACTACAGATGTGAGAAGAAAAAAAATAACATTTTAATGTAATTAACTGTTTAATAAAATGTCATAAAGTATATTTTCACCAAAACTACACCATTAATGTTAGAATAGTTTTGTAAAAAGGTAAATGTTACAAATTCATAATACAGTAGTCTTTATTTTATGAGCCATCAAATAGTTTGTTGAACGAAATAAGACAAACCTGAGTCTTTATGTTTCAGTCTACTATACTGTTTACTGTTATTTTCATCAACAATAGCAAACCATGATAAAGCAGTGAACATATATAAACTTAAATGACCAAACTAAGACATTTGGTCATTTAATTTATCCACAGATCTTGGGCAAGTTATAATTGTAATTATTGATCTCACTTTGATTTTTCTATTCATCTTTTAGCAGATTGGATTTGCCATCTCCTTCACTTTCAGCTCTCTTAGACAGAATTTTCCTTTCCTCTTATCCTGTCATTTTCTATCTACAGCCAGTCATAAAACAATCTATGTGCTTTAGAACCTCAGGCATTCAAATTAGCCAGCTTACAGGTGACATCATTTCAACAGCTGGTCATAATAAACCAAGCACAAACTGGAACCACCTGCAGTAAATAGTCACTATGAATATAGAAATTGCGCATTCACTTCTTCTAAACCAGGGCTTCTCAATTCTTTACAGTGCGACCCTTTCTTGGGGTTAAAAATATTTTGTGACACCTTCCTTCACAACCAAACCATGGATCTTTGGGATAGTGTGGAAAAATGCTTCAAGTTCAGCAGCCAATAGAAACATTCCCTCAGTAATGAGCTCACCCAACAGAAATTCCTAATCGAAATTAACCTGTCTTCCATGGCCTGTGGGTGGAGCCATTCAGGAGAGCTTGTGTTAGATAAGGTATGTCTTGTAGCACCATTCTTGTGACCCCCTGGCACCATACTACTGCTCTAGTCCCACACATTTGACACCCCAAATGCACAGCAACACCGGTGGAATTGAAGCATATACAGCTCAGTTTGACATATATCAGGGAAGCACTGCAAATCAAGCACTGCTCAAAATGCTAATATGCAAACTCTTCTGTCTGAAACACATACAAAACAAAGACACAAAGTATTGTCCACAAAAACATAATGTATAGAGGGTAAATACACTGACTTAAGAAGGAACCGTCTTCCAGACACACATTAAAATTATTCATTGGCTTCTAATATTAGAGCAAATGAATCTCCTACTAGAGACAAAGTTCACACTGACCTGAGAGAAGGAAGAAGACTGAAATCCATTTCTGATCCATTTCTGAGAGACAAGTGTATTTCATCACTCAGATGTTCAGATCAAACTTGAGATATTAATCTAATTTCACAACTATAACACTATAACAACTACATCATGTAAGAATTATCATGGAAAACAGAACCACTTAGAATAGCTCTACTTACACTATAAATGTGAATGATAATGAATCCTGGTGGAAGGTGTTCTTCTTTCTCCGGCGTCGTGATGTGTTTCTGCTCCTCTTCAACTCACGTTATGCTCATATACAGTATCTCATTTCTTTACATCTCCAGGCTCATTCATTATTGTATTGTTCCCGTCAGCAGCGACAGTGACAGTTCCAGTAAATGTTTTGTTTTTTGTTTTTTTTCTACACCAGTGAAGAGGATATGTAAAGCTCTTTGCGTGATACAGACATGCAAAGTGGCCCAGGTTGATTTTCAAAACAAATAATCAGCATCATCAGAGATGAATATCATTACTGTTTCCTTTATAGGCCTCTGGGGTCAACAAACTTGCCTGTGCATCTAATTTGATGTTCCTGTATATGTTTCGTTATCTTCTCTAGAAGAAATACGGTTCAAACATTTCCTGATTCTGTAGAGTCTGTCTTTTAAACTCCATCTTATCAGAAGATCATATGCAGCTCACATCCGGTGTTATGAGGCTATGAAGAGGGGCTGAGATACACATCATCTGCCTTTCACCATGTGGTATACCAGATATCACCAGATACTATGTGGTGAGCGCCAGATACTATCAGGTGAGCAATCACTACTATCAAGTGAGCAACAGATGCTATGCGGTGAGCACCTGATACTATGTGGTGAGCACTAGATACTATGTGGTGAGCACCTGATACTATGTGGTGAGCACCCAATTCTATGTGGTGAGCACCAGATACTCTGTGGTGAACACCCAATACTATTAGGTGAGTACCTGATACTATGAGGTAAGCACCCAATACTATTTTAGTGTGTATGAGGAAAAAAATGCAGTTTAATGCAATTAAAAGCAAATAAAGACACACAGTGCTGATGCCTTCACCAACTTTATTGCTTAACCAACAATTAAAAAAGTAAACAGAGGTGATACAATGAATGTAAACACAGCAGTAATTAGTATGAAGTTAGCTTGAATAAAACCTTTAGTAAGAGTATTTTATATGTGTGTATGTGTACTTTTTCAGCAACTTCAGCAGTTTGTGTCATAACAAGGGTACAAACATCAGAAATAATATAGGATTTCATGAGTAAACATTTACAAGATATTACACAGAACATTGGATAAATGGGATACACTCTAGAAGATAAACAAAACAAATGCCTAGTGGAGTCTATTAAAGTCACCATATTAATCATAACATATGTTAAACAAGATCCTAGTGGTTCTAGGACCGTGAAAAAAAAACTTTCACTTTTGTTAAAACAAAAACATTTTAAGCTTGTAAGAGATTTAATTAACATGTTGTTGGCTTTATATGTTACAGTTTACAGTTTTGTAAAAAGGTAAATGGGCCATAACACTCCAGGGTTTGTTAGTGTCATAAAGCAGATGTTACAATTGGAAATAACTGAAAAAAAGAATAAATGAATCCACCACCAATATTGCTACTACTAACACCTCTACTACAACTTCTAATAATTACTAATTACTAATTATCATAATAATCATATTACCCAAAATAATGCTCAGAAACAAGAAACAAAAAAGAATCAAAATATAATGATTTAAATGAATTAAAACTTATTTGATGTCTGCTTATCGCCTTCAATCTCTGTAGCAATTCTAAATAGGTTTAGTTGCAAATTTTGAGACACAAAAAAAAGTGTTAAGCATCTTATTAGTTCCCTTAATCTGTACAGACATGCAAACATAGACATGACAGTAATGTGGATCCACTGATGTTGGGGACAGACGATGGAACACAGCCTGTTTTCATTCTTCATCACTGTTTTCATTCAATCTACAAAAATACAACAGAACAGCACATTTTTAAATGTAGTCTATAAAAAAGCATGTAAAGCCACAGACACTCAGATACACACTCGCACACTGAGTAACTAACCTTCATAGGTGGTGCAGATGAAGTTGAGTTTCTGGTCCTCAGGCAGGCTGACCCACTGCTGACCTCCTCTAGACTGCACCGCTCCAGTTCTCTCTACAGGGCTGCAGTCTTCTCCTCCTGTCCCGTTACCTGGAGCCCAGTTCTCGTAGCAGATAGACTCTCCATCCACCCAGAACCAGAAGCTGAGGGTGCAGGTGTGACGCAGACCCAGCCACACATGTTCAGTGGAGGCTTTCTGTGCCACCTCCATCACCCAGAGCTGGATCTCCTCAGAGTGAACTGAGACCAGATCCACATGATGATCTCTGCAGTATCTCAGAGCTTCTCTCCAGGCCAGATTCTGATTGATCAAGATCAGCTGATCTGGAAGAAAAAGGAAAAGAGAAAATGATCAGTGCATAATTTAGACCAGAGTCCAGTTTACATAATACGGTAAAGTGTGTTGAAGTCATGATCAGTGACAAATTATTTTACTAATAACGGGTAAATTCAAAAAGATAACTGCACTTGAAATTAGAAAATAAAATGCATAAATTATAGAAAATGCAACTCACTCTGATGGCAGATGAATGGAAGCTGGCTGTTGCCGTTTAAATCATGCCATTGGCCCTGCTCAGCCATAAACACTGCAGTGTAGTTCTGATTTCCACCATAATTATCTGGCTGTGTTGATGCCCAGTATCGGAATGAAGAGCTACTCTGATCTGCCCACTTCCAGGAATCATTAAACAGGCCAATCCACACACTGTCACTGACTGACTGTTTTGTTAAATCAAATATCTGCTGGTTCTCAGTCTGGTTCCTCACACTGACCAGGTCTGTGTAATGTTCTCTGCAGTAGCTCTGAGCTTCACGCCAGGTCTTTGCCTCCTTAATCAACATGTATGTAGAGTTTTTCCCTGAAAGTCATTATAAGTGATACATGATGAGCTACATCTTCGCACATTTTGAATATTTTTGAACATATACATTTGATGTACTGTGTATGTGTCTAAAAAGATTTTTTTTAATTTTAATATATTTTTATCCAGTTCAACTTTAGGTTCCACAAGTAAACATTAATTTGCATCATGGCTTGACTAACAATGTGTAAAATTAAGTAAGTAACTGAACTTAACTGAACAAAAGACATCTGCATAATTTTTTTAAGCTAATGAAACTGTCAGCTTAGCTAAAAGCAAGGACTGCTTAGCTTGCTAACCTTTAATGAGGTTAATGCAATCTGGGAGAAAGTAACCATCAAATTTACTCAGTTGAGTAAAAATATGCTGTCCCCAGCAACAATTACCATTGAATGATAGCTTCGTTTTTACATGATTGGACAGTGTAGGCTTTCCTCTATCATTTATTTATATACACTATCCAGTTTCTGAGAATGTTTGTCTTTCTGTCTGATCACACATAGACACTAAAGGGGCTTTTCCACTGCATGTTTCCAGCTTGACTTGACTTTACTCACCTTTTTCTATTAGGCAGTAGCTGGTGCCTCGTACCTAGTGCTTTTGTTACCATCTCCACTGAGGTTCCAAGTGAGCTGAGCCGATACCCAAAGGTGACGTAAAAATGCTACAGACTACTGATTGGTCTGGGAGAATCGCTAAATGCGTATGCTAACATTAGCCACCAGGTTAGCATAGCCACTAGCGTCACCTTTTTTCAGCAACAAGAACCGTCTCGTCATCTGAACTCTGATGTAGTTTTTTCCCAAACTCTCCTTTTTATGTCAGCAGTCTTTTGTCTTGCTGTCATCAGCCTCGTCTGAACAAAATTTGTCTCCTTCACGTTATGGCAGTTTTATTTGGTGTTGCTATAGTGACCAGATACCCTGATGGGGTACAATATCTGTAGTGTAAAGCAAAGTAGCTGGTACCAAAAGTGAGTCGAGTCAAGTCAAGTTGGGTCAAGCTGAATCAAGTTGAGCCAGGGCCATTCAGTGGAAAAGAGGCTTCTCAAGGGAAACAAAAGCTACCAGACCTGTTGTTTTTTTCTCTGTTGTTGCAGCAAAATACTTGAATACTAACTGTAAAACATGTTTTGCATGAAATTCTCTCATGTTTCATCTTCAGTCATGTATTGTTGGAGTGTAATGGCTGTAGTTTCAAATTTGTGTTGTATAGTAACATATTTGAAATGTTTACTGACACAATTTAGCAACTGCCAATTACGTCTATTATAAGTCAGTTTTGAGTCAGTGGCTTTTCATTTCCTGTATGAATACAGAGAAATGTGTCTACATTATTGTCCAACAAGAGACTGAACTTTCCAGTACAGATGCTGGTGATGGAGATTGATGTTCATCAAGCCCTGTCTTACCTAATAGATAGGCAAGAAGTTATAATCAGCAGTGAAAAGTCTTGCTGCTATTTACTTCTGAGGGATAAGGCTATTTTAAAATAACGCATACCAGTGACCAGCAAATGCATTCATACATTTATAAAGATTGTTGTCAGCTCAAAATAATAAACAATTTATGTGGTAACAAGTACATAAGCTAATGAATATTTTGAATTAACAATTATTTCAATGAAGGTATTATTCGAACAAAATTAATTCAATTGTATGTTACCACAGGAAGTGTATTTGTAACCATTTCTTTACAGTGTAAGTCATCAGTTATTGGCATTCATCATTTCTGAGTTCCTACCTTCGAAACACACAAAAGGAAATAAACGGCTGCAGTCTTCATCATCCCAGCTTCCAAGTTCATACATCTGAACACACATCTCTTCTCCAGCATTACTGTTTGGTTCTCCTGTATACCAGTTACTGTATGACTGTCCTTCTCTGTAGACTGTTCCATCTTGCAGAGACCACTGCCAGGTCACTTTTTCTAGGCCGATCCAGACCCTAACAGATTTATCTTTCACAGTTTCAGTCACCTTCTTCATCTCGTCCATGTTGTTGATGGTGGCCAGATCAGTGTAGTTCTGTCTGCAGTAGCTCTGAGCTTCAGTCCAGGTTTTATTCTCATTCACAAAGTGATACCGATGAGGAACGTATGCAGACAGACCATAGATAGCTGTGAATAACATGAGGCGGGATTTTTCAGATGGCATTTCAGTGGAGCAAACAAAAAAGGCAGTGTCTCAAAATCAGGGCTTGATTTGTGTCAGAACAAGCTAGATCTGAATCTAACCTCTCCCAAAGTGGATTGCACAACTCTTTCATTGGATTTCCACTAAAAATGTATGCAGTGACCTGCAGATGTGTTTCATGAAAATTAAAACAATCAGTATACCCTCACAACAAAATGCTACAGATCAGAACAGAAAGTAGCTCCATGTGAGATCTTCGGTTAATCGCATGAACATGGTGCCATATGATGATAAAAAAACAATGATGCTATGTTTATCACTCAATCATAGGTCATTACAAATATTTATCCTATAATTATGTAACGATTAGCAAAAGAGTAAAAAATGTGCTCATGAGACTGTTCTCATTGTTTAAAAACGGTAAAAGCACAAGGTGAAAAAGGTAAAAAGTACATCAGTATATACACTATGCATTTGGAACGTTTTCAGACCCTTTCACTTTTTTCACAATTTGTCATGTTGAGGCCTGCTAAAATCAAAAATTTAAAGTTCATCAATCTGCACTGAATACCCCATAATGATAAAAGACAAAACAAAATTAGAGTACGTAAAATTTCGCTTGGACACAGACAGTTGAAATTTAGCTCTGGGGGCCTCCGATTTCTCTTAATCATCTTTAAGATCTTTCTACACTTAATTGTCCACCTGTGGTAAATTCAGTTGATCGGACATGATTTAGAAAGACACACACCTGTCTTAATAAGGTCTCAATGCATATCAGAGTGAAAACCAAGCCATGAGGAGGAAAGAACTGCCTGTAGAGCTCAGAGACAGGATTGTGTTTCTGATCTGGAGAAGATTACAAAACATTCTGCTGCACTGAAAGTTCCCAAGAGCACAGAAGCCTCCATGATTCTTAAATAGAAGAAGTTTGGAACAACCAGGGACTTTTTCTAGAGCTGGCCACCCCACCAAACTAAAGTAATAGGGGGAGAAGGGCCTTAGTAAGAGAGGTGAACAAGAACCCAAAGGTCACTCTGGCTGAGCTCCAAAGATCCTGTTGGCAGATGGGAGAAACGTCCAGAAGGTCAACCATCATTGGAGCACTCCACCAGTCTGGGCTATATGGCAGAGTGGCCAGACAGAAGCCTCTCCTCCATAAAACACATATGAAAGCCCACCTGGAGTTTGCAAAGAAGCACCAAAAGCACTTCCAGACTGTGAGAAATAAGATTCTCTGGTGTGATGAAATAAAGCGTAAACATTTTGGCTTCAATTCTAAGTGTCATGTCTGGAGAAAACCAGGCACTGCTCATCGCCTGCCCAATATCATCCCTACAGTGAAGCAAGGTGGTGGCAGCATCATGCTGTGGGGTTGTTTTTTTAGTAGCTGGGACAGTGAGAGCGCTCAGGGTTGAGGGAAAACTGAATGGAGCCAAGACCTTAGACTGGGCCAAAGGTTCATCTTCCAACAAGACAATGACCCTAAGCACACAGCCAAGACAACACAAGAGTGGCTTAGGGACAACTCTGTGGATGTCCTTGAGTGGCCCAACATAAGCCCTGACTTCAACACAATGGAACATCTCTGAAGAGACCTGAAAATGGCTGTCCACCCACGGTCCCCATCCAACCTGTCAGAGCTTGAGAGGATCTGGAGAGAAGAATGGCAGAAAATTGCCAAATCCAGGTGTGCAAAGCTTGTTGAATCATACCAAAGAGGAATGGAGGCTGTATTCACTGCCAAAAGTTCTTAAACTAAATACTAATACTAGTACAATATTCTTGTTTTTGCTTTTTAATAAATTTGCAAAAATTTCTAAAATTCTGTTTTCACTTTGTCATTATGGGGTATGGGGTGCAGAATGATCGGGAAAAAATGATTATTTTTCATTATTATTATTTTACCACAAAGCCGCAACATAATAAAATGTGAATGAAAAAAAGTGATATGGCTGGTATGGAAAAATGCCTGCCTTCCACAGCCTGTAGCCATTCAGCAGAGTTCTGTTTGATAAGGTGTATGTCTTGTAGCACCACTCTGGTGACCCCCTGTGAAAATGCTACTACTGTAGTCCCAAACATTTCACACTATGAACGCATGATAACACCAGTAGAACTGAAATATGTACTACTCAGTGCAATATTCATATCACAGTAACACTGCCTATTATGCACTGCTCAAAATGCTCCTATGCAAACTCTTCTGCTTGATACACATACAATTCAAGCACACAAGCATCTCTTACAAGTGTTGTCCATAAACACATAAATGTAGACAGATAAATACACATGCTAAAGAAGGCAGCTGTAAGGAACCGCCTTCCAGACACATACTAAGCTTATTCACTGGTTTATAGTTTACTATTAGAATAAATGTATTGCTTCATAGAGACAAAGTTCACACTGACCTGAGAGAAGGAAGAAGACTGAAATCCATTTCTGATCCATTTCTGAGAGACAAATGTATTTCATCACTTAGATGTTTGGATCAAACTTATGATGTTAATCTAATTTCACAACATTGCTGCACTGTAACAATTATGCCATGTAATTAAATATCATAGAAAACAGAATGACTTAGAGGAGTTCTACTCACATTACTAATGTGAATGATAAATAATCCTACAGGAATCCTTCTCCGTGATGTGTTTCTGATCCTCTCCAAATCACGTTATGTTCACATATGGTTTGGCACCTGTTTATATTTCCAGGCTCCAGCTCTTTCACATGTATTCCTAGAGACATACCGTGACAGTCTTTTATCAGTTTCATCAGCCTGTCGGGCATCACAGCTCCAGTGAATGTCTTTTTTCACCAGTGAAGAGGATATATAGAGATCTGTGAATGATAGACATGCAAAATGACCCAGGTTGATTTTCAAAACAAGTAAAACCTGATCATCAGGGATGAATGTCATCAGTGTTTACCTTTCTAGGCCTCTGGCACCAACAACCTTGCACGTGCCTCAAATTTGATGTTCCTATGTGATAATATAGTACAGAAATATAGTTCAAACATTTTCTGAATCTGCAAAGTCTATCTTTCAATTCCATCCCAACGCAAGAATATATATGACGTATGAGTTATGAAGAGAGGCTGAGATACATGTCATCAAGTGTGAAATTGGCATATTCATGTGTCCGTCTTCACATGTGTGAAACTCTTCATTCTTCATTCAGAGACACATGACAAGAGTTACTTCATACAGATGCTGAAGTTGCGGCAGCAATTTTGGAAAGTGGCGACAAAGATAACACAGCATTTCTATATGATACATATGGGTATCATGATATGTCAAGTACTGTTAAAGGCGAACTTAAGAAGACATACAAAAATCAAGACAAAGCTCTTAGATGACAGAGTGTAACACCCAGCAGGACCTTTTTCCTACCGAGTTTATAAAAACACGCAGGGAACGAGAACGTCTTGGACTATACTGAATGAATGAATGAACTATACTGAAAGAATATAGTAATCGACCATGACCAGGAGACACTCTTTTTGCTGAGGACTGTTAGGGAAAGGGCCCATGAATTTCAGATTCAGCTCATGATCATGGAAACTGGAGTCCCATTTGACCATGCCTAAAGCACTCTGCACTGCCCCATTGGCCAAAGAAAATGTCTGTCCTCCCGAAGGCTTCCAGACCTCCCTAGATGCCTTTAACTTCTCCCAAAGAGAACACCTTATGAGGGAATAAGTGCTCCCTGTGACCACAAATGCATCTATTATTTGGGATTTGATCTTAATGGGGAAAGCAACTGGCTGCCTAGGGTTAATTCTGCTGACAGGTTGTCCCTCCGTAGCAGGCAAATGGTATGCCAGAGTGTTTTTGGCTTGTTGGGGGGATGAGGTTTCTTCTTCTGAGCTTCACTGTTAGCATGTGCATAAAAGGACTTCATCACAGACATATCTCTTTCAATTTGGGTTCCCACTCTCACTAAATCAGAGGTAAATCTGTTACAAGAGGCTAAACTAAATCTGAAAAAAACAAGACTACTTTTTTAGTGGTAGAGTTTCAGTGTATAGACCATGCTTCAGATTGCCATCTCAGCCTTATTGAGAATGAATGCTGCCTGCTAACATAATCAGTACATTGTCCATATTGTTATTAATACATATGAATCTCAGGCATTACTTGTACAACAGTTGTATAACAGTTATTTCTTGAGTTCTGTCTTTACTGTTTGATTGACTGTTGTATTTGTATAAAGTATTGAACATATTTGTGTTTGTAGATCTATAGAAATTGTTCCTGTGGTAAAATTTTGGCAGTTCACTTGTCTAACGTGATCTGACAGGCTGCGTTTGTAACTCGTTAAGTGAGGCTTGCTTTAGTTAGCTTAGCTAGCAGGCTGGCTGTGCAAACATGCTGGCTCTTCAAAACAAGAGAGAGTCCAGTATAAATATTGGCTGTTCACTGTTTAGTAGCACTGTTTTTATGTAAATCATTTATCGGTTTGATTCGATACTGTATTATACTGTATTATAGACTCATTTTCTGTCCTCAAGGACTAACGGTACAGAAGTGGAAAGGCACTGGCTGAGGAAGAGAAAGTGTTACAGGGAAAACCTGCACTGAATGACTTAAAAAAGGCTGCTCACTTTTCCAGCATATATGGGGAAAAACATTGTGGAGCCTGCGTGACTGATGATGCCTACTGGATGATGTAGAAGCTGAAAAAAAAAATAAAAGAGCTGAACAAGAAATAAAGAAAAAATAAAAAATAAAGAAAAGAAGAAATAAAAGAAATGTTTTTGGAATAAATACCACAAATGCTTATTTTTGCTACTCTGCTTGTCTTCTATTGCTGTGCTTATCACAGTCACAACAGTGCGAGGAGAATGTTGACGGCTAAATTTCAGACTAGGAGCTCATAAATCAGATAAGAATGCATAAAATAAAATGCATATTAGCAGCTTAACAGATTGTGTGCGCTCCTTCTTTCTGAGTGCTTTTTGTACAAAATTATATGAAATTTTTATCCTTTGTGTGTTAGAAATAAAGCAGGTTCATTAAGGTGCATGAGGAGTGAATGAATTGAAATGATTCACAAACTAGTAGTCATGATTATCTGTATTTTTGTCAATACAGCAAAACTTTTACAGTCGGAGGGGAGTGTACGCTAACCAACGACTGCGAGTAAACTGATAAAACATGTAGAGTGCAGTGTAACTTATGACGTATGATGGTTCTAAAGCTCTGTCCTGAAAGCGATACCCGCTAAGGTTCCTTTTTCGTTAAAATGCTGCCCAAAGAAAGAGGCAGTGACTAGTTATTCAGCTGCCTCCAGAATAGAACGCACTAAACACTTTTTATGTTTAATATTAAAACATTTTGAGACTGAAAAAAAAAATGCTATTGTGCAATCCAGCATGAGTACAGTTCATCATGGCTAGAGATTCTGAAAGTTTGCTGTGGAAAAGTTTCAAAAGAAAGATCAAACTGTCAGAGGTTTTCCACTGAAATTAGCTAAAATAACAGTTGGTTCATCTGAGATGTTTTCATCTGCAATATTTAACTCTAGCTGGTGCAGCGAGAAAACAATGCAGTTTAATGCAATTAAAAGCAAATAATGACACACAGTGCTGATGCTTCACCATCTTTATTGCTTAACCAACAATTAAAACATTAAACAGAGGCAATACAATGAATGTAACCACAGCAATAATTAGTATGAAGTTAGCTTGAATAAAACCTTTAGTAAGAGTATTTTATATGTGTGTATGTGTACTTTTTCAGCAACTTCAGCAGTTTGTGTCATAACAAGAGTACAAACATCAGAAATAATACAGGATTTCATGAGTAAACATTTACAAGATATTACACAGAGCATTGGATAAATGGGATACACTCTGGAAGATAAACAAAACAAATTAAGTGACCTTGGGTTTGCGAAAGGCCCTATATAAATTATTATTATTATTATTATTATTATTATTATTATTATTATTAAATGCCTAGTGGAGTCTATTAAAGTCACCATATTAATAACATATATTAAACAAGATCCTAGTGGTTCCAGTACTGTAAAAAAACCTTACTTTCACTTTTACACTCTGTGTTTTGTTAAAATAAAAACATTTTAAGCTTGTAAGAGATTTAATTAACATATTCTTGACTTTATATTTTGCAGTTTCCAGTTTTGTATAATGGTGAATGTTATAAATTGTTTTAGTAAATTTAATACAAAAATTTAATAGTTTAATACATGTGTTAGTGTTATAAAACAGATGTTACAGTTGGAAATTAATTTAAAAAATCCACCACCAACGTTACGACTAGAAACACCTCTACTACAATGACTAATAATTACTATTGATTACTAGTTATCATAATAATCATCTTACCAAAAATAGCAATAAGAAACAAAAAAAAATAATCAAAATGTTATGATTTAAATGGAATAAAATACAACATATTTGATGTCTGGTTATCACCTTAAATCTCTATAGCAATTCTAAAAAGGTTTAGTTCCAAAACTTGAGATACATAAATAAAGTGTTAAGCATCTTGTTAGTTCCCATAATCTGTACAGAAATGCAAACATAGACAAGACAGCAACGTGAATCCACTGATGTTGAGGACAGATGATGGACCACAGCCTGTTTTCATATTTCATCTTCAAAAACATAAAATATGCAAAATTTTAAATGCAGTTCATAAAAAAGCATCTAAAGCCACAGACACTCAGATACTCGCAAACTGAGTAACTAACCTTCATAGGTGGTGCAGATGAAGTTGAGTTCCTGGTCCTCAGGCAGGCTGACCCACTGCTGACCTCCTCTAGACTGCACCGCTCCAGTTCTCTCTACAGAGCTGCAGTCTTCTTCTCCTGTCCCGTTACCTGGAGCCCAGTTCTGGTAGCAGATAGACTCTCCACTCACCCAGTACCAGAAGCTGAGGGTGCAGGTGTGACGCAGACCCAGCCACACATGTTCAGTGGAGGCTTTCTGTGCCACCTCCTTCACCCAGAGCTGGATCTCCTCAGAGTGAACTGAGACCAGATCCACATGATGATCTCTGCAGTATCTCAGAGCTTCTCTCCAGGTCAGATTCTGCTTGATCAAGATCAGCTTATCTGGAGACAGAAGGAAAACAGAAAAGGATCAGTGCATAATTTCGATCACAGTCCAGTTTACATAATCAGGTAAAGTGTGTTGAAGTCATGATCAGTGGCACATTATTTTACTAATAATGTGTAAATTCAAATACATAACTGCACTTGAAATTAGTAAATAAAATGCATGAATTATAGAAGAAGTGAAATGCAACTCACTCTGATGGCAGATGAATGGGAGTTGGCTGTTGCCGTTTAAATCATGCCATTGGCCCTGCTCAGCCATAAACACTGCAGTGCAGTTCTGATTTCCACCATTATTATCTGGCTGTGTTGATGCCCAGTATCGGAACAAGGAGGCACTCTGATCTGCCCACTTCCAGGAGTCGTAAAACAGGCCAATCCACACATCATTACTGACTGGATTTTTTGTTAAATCTAATATCTGCTGGTTCTCAGTCTGGTTCCTCACACTGACCAGGTCTGTGTAATGTTCTCTGCAGTAGCTCTGAGCTTCACGCCAGGTCTTTGCCTCCTTAATCAACATGTATGTAGAGTTTTTCCCTGAAAGTTTTTAACAATATACCATGAGCTACATCTTCACATATTTTGAATATTGTTAAACATGTACATTTGATATACTGCATATGTGTCTAAATAAATTTATATATATATATATATATATATATATATATATATATATATATATATATATATATATATTTCTTTTCAATTGATCTAAATTAAATAAGTAACTGAACATTCAACAAAATAATCTCACACATTTTAAAGTTCAACTCACCCTCAGAGCAGAGGAATGGAAACTTTCTTTCACAGTTTTGATCATTCCAGCGACCCCCGTCATTTATTTCAATATGAGCACAGTTCTCTATTCCAAGAAAATAATCTGGCTGGTTTTGCTTCCAGTTTTGAAATGAAGAGTAACTCTGATCTGACCACTTCCAGAAATCTCTGAACAGGCCGATCCAAACATTTTTTCCATTGGCTACCTTCTTTATCTCGTCATTCTCAGCCTGGTTCCTCACGCTGGTCAGATCTGTGTGATTCTTTCTGCAGTAGCTCTGAGCTTCATGCCAGCTCTTCATGTAATCAATAAATACATAACTACTTTTTCTTTCTGAAAAACATGAACAGCAAATTTTTTATTATTACGCACATATGGAAGCTTACATAACAAATGACATCCGCATATTTTTTGGATGCAAATGAAACCATGAACAAAGTAAAACATACAGAAAGCTTGTCAACTTTTGACCAAGGCAAAATAAGGTTAATGCAAACCGGGAGAAAGTAACCATTAAATTTACTCAGTTGAGTAAAAATTATGCTTCGTTCTCAGCAACAATTACTACTGAATGAATAGACACTAAACTTGCTTTTCCACTGAGAGGTACCGGCTCGACTTGACTCGACTCTACTTACCTTTTTTGGTTGTCCAATAGGCAAAAGTTGGTCCCTGGCACCCACAACTTTTTTTGTTATTATCCCTGTCAAGGTTCCAAGCGAGCTGAGCTGATAAAAAAGGTCAAATAAAAACACTACCGATGCCTGACTGGTCAGAGAGAATTGCTAAAAACATATCTAAACATAACGGCCATCCGGGAGGAGCTCGGAGTAGAGCCGCTACTCCTCCGCATTGAGAGGAGCCAGCTGAGGTGGTTTGGGCATCTGATCCGGATGCCCCCTGGACGCCTCCCGGTGGGGGTGTACCAGGCACGGCCTACCGGGACAAGACCCCGGGGTCGTCCTAGGACCCGCTGGAGGGATTATATCTCCAGGTTGGCCTGGGAGCAGCTTGGGGTCCCCGGGAATAAGCTGGAGGAAGTTGTGGGGGACAGGGTCATCTCATAATAATCTCATTGTTTGAACTCTGATGTAGTTTTTTCAAAACTCTTCTTTTTTGTCAGCAGTCATTTGGCTTGCTGCTATCAGGCTCAAGTTGAGTCAGGCCAAGTCAAGTTGAGCCAGGACAATGCAGTAGAAAAATAAAAATTTCAAGGAAAACGAAGCTACCAGAACTGTTTTGCCCCTCTCTTGCTGCAGCAAAACTTGAATAAAAACTGTAAAAACAGGTCTTGAAAGACATTCTCAATGTAGACATGTATCGTTGAAGTGTAATGGCTGTAGTTTCAAATTTGTGTTGTATATTAACATATTTGAAATGTTTACTGAAAGAATTTAGCAACTGCCAATTACGTCTATTAAAAGTCCGTTTTGAGTCAATTTCTTCACATTTCTTGTCTAAGTACAGAGAAACATGTCTATATTATTATCCAATAAGAGATTGAACAGTGGTATTGTACTTTCCAATACAGATGCTGGTGATAGAGATGAGTGTTTATTTTACCCTGTCTTACCTAACAGATCATGCAAAGTGATAACCAGCAGTAAAAAGTCCTGCTGCTACTTCTCAGGGATAAGGCTATTTTAAAATAAGGCATACCAGTGATCAGCAAATACATTCATACATTTATAAAAATGGTTGTCAGATCAACATAAAAAAACACTTTATGTGGTAAGAAGTACATAAACTATTTATTATTTCAATCAAAGTATTTTTTGAATAATAGTAGTTCAATTGTAAGTTACCACATGAAATATATTTACAGGTTGAAATGACAGTCATCATTTTTAAGTTCTTACCTTCAAAACACACGAAAGGAAATAAACGGCTACAGTCTTCATCATTCCAGTTTCCACCTGTATACATCTGAACACACACGTCCGTTCCAGCTTTACTGTTTGGTTCTCCCGTATTCCAGTTGCTGTATGACTGTCCTTCTCTGTAGACTGTTCCATCTTGCAGAGACCACTGCCAGGTCACTTTTTCTAGGCCGATCCAGACCCTAACAGATTTATCTTGCACAGTGTCATTCAGCTTCTTCATCTCCTCCATGTTGTTGATGGTGGCCAGATCAGTGTAGGTCTGTCTGCAGTAGCTCTGAGCTTCAGTCCAGGTTTTACTCTCATTCACAAAGATATACTGATGAGGAACGTATGCAGACAGACCATAGATAGCTGTGAGTAACATAAGAAAGAGGAGGATTTTTAGGGAGCATTTCACCGGAGCAAAACAAAAATATCAGGGTTTGATTTGTGCCAAAACAAGGAAGATCTGGATCCAAAACAGGATCTAGCAACTCTTCCAGTGGATTTCCCACCTAATGAAATTAATGTATGCACTAATCTGCAGATATGTTTCATGAAAAATTCAAATACATAATTTGTCCCCACAATACAATACAACAGATGAGAACAAAAATAGTTTTATGTGAGATCTTCGGTTAATTGCATGAACTGAATGATACTCATACACCCTGATTAAAAAAGGTACTAAACTGTCACTGGGGCAGGACCCCTCTTTTCACAGGGGTGGTACCCTCAAGGGTACATCTCAGTATCTTTAGTCAGGGAACATAATTGTACCGTAATCCATTAAAATTATATTATCTAATTTGTATTGACTCCGTACACCCCATCTCGTCTCCAGGCTTATTATTTTATTGTTCTGTTTTAAAACATTAGTTTATGAGAAGATATAAATATGTACTTTTCACCTGGAAAAACTTATTTAAGGTTCACAATTAGTCCTTAAAACCACTGTTGTACCTTTGAGGGAACATTTACACTGTTTGTACCATGTAGAACGAAAAATGTACCAGCACAGAACCTTTATTTCTAACAGTGTAGGTTAAATACGGTGATTGGTTATTTATCTAAAGAGCTTAGTAATGCTTAGCAAAACAGGCAAAACTTGACATGTCTTAGACTGTTTTCATCGTTTAAAAAGGTGATTTACCATATTTTATGAAAGCATGTCAGTAATAAAATGCAAGATGGCATTGCATTTGTATATTTGCCTTTTGGCATAATTCAAATGTTGAAAGGCAACCAGCACCTCTCCTCATTGCAATCACATATTCTCACCTATGAGATCATTCTGTCGCAATTTTTTTATTTTTTGAAAATGCCTTTGACCTGATTTCATTATAATTTTCATAGACTTTCGCCTGTCAAACATCTGAAAATTGTGAAATATAATGTTTTTGTATTCGAAATAGCATCCATGAGAGGGCCATTTAAATTAATAAATTCATACAAAATATAGGAATATGTTGTTTTCTTATATATTACATTTTCATTTTGCTACCCATATGCTTCCAAACTATTCTGTCATAATAGACAAAGGTAACACTTTACTCTAGGGCACTGTTCATCATCAGGACACTTACATACTGACATAAATGTTTTATGACAATGGACATAAACCTACATAAGCATTGGCCCTACTTTATATTGTCTCTAATAACTGTGTAGTTACACATTAACAACACATGCAACAGCAGTGTTACTACTAGCAATGTATTCACAGTTACAGATGGATTATTGTAGTAGAGCTCATGTAAAAAGACACACATCATCTTCAGTTTTTGCTTATGTATTTACACAAGTCTATCTTTATAGTGACAACAGCGTATTTTCTCTTATGAGTTCACATGTGTAATAGGGTGAACTGCCGTTTTTCCAAAAAAGACTTTTCTGATTGTAATAGTGGGTGTAATTGTCTATGTAATGTGAGTATTCACACTGCACCAGCACAGAAAATGCCAACTTTTCTAACAACATTCCTTCTGCTATGTTCAGCTGTAAGGAGCAGCTATATTTTTCCTGGGACAAAATGACCCAATGCATGTTTAATCATCTGAAAGAAACTTAAAAAATATTTTCCCTACAAACATTATCACAATTAATATCAATGAAATTAATATTAAGTGTAATCAACTTTTTTTCACACATTACAGACCACGGCTTGGATATAATAATTCACAAATTTTTCATTCAAACATAATTTACTAACTTTTTTTTCTGGACATTGGCAAAAACATTTTCGCCATGACATTTAACACATTTGATTTATTTCTTCTTTTTCAATACATTTAACATATTTTCTGTCATGGGGCATGTTGATTGATACCAGTGGTGGACAGTAATGAAGTAAATGTAATTCATTACTGTACTTAATTACTGTAATTAATACTGTATCTGTACTTTACTGAAGTCTTTTCCCTTTTGGGTGACTTTTTACTTTCACTCCACTCCATTTCAAAATCAAATATCTTACTTTTTACTCCACTACATGATGCGAAATCTGTCATTCCTTTTGGTTTATGTGCGCATAAAACCATAACATGTAAAAACCAAAGAAGTGTGAAGCAAAAACACCAATCAGGGCACAGTGGTCACTTTGTTTTGAGCTTGTTTTGACCTGTTGGACATACAGACCCAGTGCAACACACGGTTCAACATCAGTGCAGCAGCGGGGAGAGTCTATTCAATATAAATGATGAACTAACCTAACTTGGTGTAAATAGACCCCAATATAGAAATATGTACACATATGCAGTTGTGACTGACGTGTCTTTTTTTCTGAATTTATACAAACACATTTCATTTAATAGTAAATTTGTTTGGGCTAGTTTATGTTTATGAACAGAGACCTACAGATGCAGTTTAGTAAAGGAAACTCATTGGTGAATCTGAGTTTAAAGCAAGTTTTCATTAAACTCAAACTTGTAACTAAGTTCCAAATAAATCTTAAACTGAAACTTTGCTTGTTTGCAAAAAGTTATTTCAGAGCCACTCAGTTCTACCTAATGGAAATTGTTTGCATTCAGTGTTTGGTGCTTATGATAATTTTAATAGACATCAATTAGACTAATTAATGATATTCAATTAAAAAGATTGGTTTACCAAGAGTGACACTCGAGTATTTACACGTAAATCGAGTCTTGTTACAAAAATAGTAATAAGAGTCATAATTAATCTTGTAGTACTTTTACCTTTGATACTTTCAACTTTGTATTTGTAGAGGAAATTCATTCATTCATCATATTTAACCGTTAATTTAATTTAGCAGTTGGGAGAGCAGAGAAAGACAACGCTGTCCCCTTCAACTTCCTCTAGCTCATTCCGGGGGACCCCTGAGCAGCCTCAAAAACCCTTCACTGAGAGGCGTCCAGGGGGCATCCTTATCAGATGCCTGAACCGCCTCAACCGACTCCTCTCAATGTGGAGGAGTAGCGGCTCTACTCTGAGCTCCTTCCAGATGACTGAGCTCCTCACCCTGTCAAGTAGAGTGTAGCCCACCACCCTGCAAAGAAAGCTCATTTCCACTGCTTGTATTTGCAATCTCATTCGTTCGATCATTACCCACAGCTCATGACCACAGGTGAGGGCTGGGATGTTGACCGATTGGTAAACAGAGAGCTTTGCCTTATGGCTCAGCTCCTTCTTCACCACTGCAGTCCAGTACAGTGACTGTATTACTGCTGCCACCTGTCAATTTAATTATTTTTTTATTACTTTAACATCACATGACAGTCTAGGATAACCTGAGTCATTAATTATTCAGTAATTAGTCAGTAATTATTGATCTCACATTGATTTTCCCAGTCTACTCATCTTTTAGCAGACTGGACCCGCTGTCTCCTCCACTTTCAGCTCTTAGAAAGATTATTTCTTTCTGCTTATCTGTCTCCTCCTGTGACTTTCTGTCTACAACCAGTCATAAAACAGTCTATGTGGATCTGTGTTTTAGAACCTCGGGTATTCAAATTAGCCAGTTTGCAGGTGACGTTAAAAATATTTCATGACCCCCTTTGTCACAACCAAACCATGAATGTTGAGGCTGGAAAAAAATGCCAAAAAAACTTAGCCTGCCTTCCAGAGCTTGTAGCCATTCCACAGAGCTTGTGTTTGATAAGGTGTCTTGTAGCACCACTTATGTTATGCCTCTAGGAAAATGCTACCAATGTAGTCCCAAATGTTTGACACCATGAACACATAGCAACATCAGTAGAATTGCAGCATCTACTACAAAAAAGTGTGTGTGTATATATATATATATATATATATATATATATATAGATAGATAGAGAGAGAGAGAGAGAGAGAGAGAGAGAGAGAGAGAGAGAGAGAGAGATAGATAGATAGATAGATAGAAAATGACAACTAAACACTGCTCAAAATGCTTCTATACCAACTCTTCTGCCTGAAACACATACAATTCAAGCACACAAGCATCTCTTACAAGTGTTGTCCATAAACACAAAAATGTAGATAGATAAATACACATGTTAAAGAAGGCAGCTGTAAGGAACCATCTTCCAGACACATACTAAGCTTATTCACTGGTTTCTAGTTTACTATAAGAGTAAATTAATCTCTTAATTGAGACAAAGTTCACACTGACCTGAGAGAAGGAAGAAGACTGAAATCCATTTCTGATCCATTTCTGAGAGACAAATGTATTTCATCACTTAGATGTTTGGATCAAACCTATGATGTTAATCTAATTTCACAACATTGCTGCACTGTAACAATTATGCCATGTAATAAATATCATAGGAAACAGAACGACTTAGAGGAGTTCTACTCACACTACTAATGTGAATGATAAAGAATCCTGGAGGGAAGTGCTCTCTTTTTCTCCAGTGTATATATTTTTTTCTCTTGTGATGTGTTTCTGATCCTCTCCAACTCACGTTATGTTCACATATGGTGTAGCACCTCTTTATATCTCCACGCTCCAGCTCTTTTACATGTATTCCTAGAGACATAACAGGACAGTATTTTATCAGTTTCATCAGCCCGTCAGCAGTGAAGAGGATATGTAAAGCTCTTTGCATGATTCAGACATGCAAAATGACCCAGGCTGATTTTCAAAGCAAAGGACACATGTTATCAGTGTTTCCTTTCTAGGCCTCTGGTGTCAACCAACACGGACGTGCAACAAATTCGATTATATATATAGTTCACACATATTTCCTGAAACTGTGGAGTCTGTCTTTCAATTCCATCTCAATGTGAGAATTTATATAAGATTTACTTCCAGAGTTATGAGGCTATGATGACAGAATTAAATTACATGTCATCTGCCTTTCACCATGTGTAATTGGTGGATTCATGTGTCTGTCTATGCCTGTGTCAAACTGACCACTGAACACTCATTAAGGACTGACTGATTAGGCCGGAAACCCTTCAATCTTCATTCACTCCACATCGGAGACACATGGAAAGAGTTACTTCATACTGATGGTGAAGTTGCTGCAACGGTTTTGGAAAGCAGTGACGAAGATAACACAGCATTTCGATATGAACTATATGGGTATCATCATATGTGCAAGTGCCTTTAGAGGCAAATTTAAGAAGACATGGAAAAATCAAGAAAATCCCATAGACTTCAGATGGTTAGACTAAGGTTCATAAAACCAATATGACTAGATTTTTAGTGGTAGAATTTCAGTGTATAGGCCATACATCAAACTGCCTTCTTAGCCTCATTGAATGAATGGTGCCTGCTAGCATAATCAGTACATTGTCCATATTCTTATCAATCCATATCAATCTAAGGCATAATAGGGCCTCAGATCATCATGCCAGCATATAAAGTGCTTTGTTTACACATACCAGTGTATGAAACAAAAGTATATGTGAAATCTTACATATTCAGTCATTTTTACAGTTGTTTTTTCTCTCTTCCCATCATTCTGAACATGTGGCTGAAAGGCCAGCTTCTTTCAGTTCTACTTTTGAGAGAACACAGTTTCATGCTTCTAATGTTCCTCCCCAAACAACCTACAATAGTCCACAATCAAAGGAGGAGCAGGTGGGAAAGACAGCAACTCCACCTCTCCACTACCATGGTCCAATCCCCTTAGTGACCTGCCACTGGGGTCAAAAGTGAGAAATGACCCAGTGCCTGGGCCTAGTCCAAGGAGGCTGGATGGGGGAGGCATCATCACCATGGGAGTTTTTTGGAAGCAAGTGCTGCTTCCTGCAGCCATGCGGGGTTCAGCATCAGTTTCCTGGGGTGGAAGTGCATCAGGAGGAATTAAATCACAAAGAGGTTTAATAATAAAACTATTTCAGACTGGTATTTTGTAGTCCAGCATGAGTACAATTCATCATGGATAGACATTCTCACAGATTGCTGTGCTAAAGTTTTCAAAACAAGACCAAACTGTCAGAGCTTGGTTTCTACTAGAATTAGCTGAAATAACAGCTGGTTTAATGTTCCTACTACAATTTTTAACTCTGGTGCTGAGTGTGGTTAAAGCTGGTGCTGTGACAAAAATGCAATTTAATGCAAAGAAAAGCAATTAGAGACATGCAGTGCCAAGACCTTCACCAACTTTATTGCTTAACCAAGAATTTAAAGAATAAAACAGAGGCGATAGAAAAAATGTAAACACAGCAATGATTAGTATGAAGTTAGCTTGAATAAAACCATTAGTGATAACATTATGTAACTTCAGCAGTTTGTGTCATAACAGGAGTAGAAACATCACAAATACAGGATTGCATGAGTAGAAATTTACAAGATATTACACAGAACATTGGATAAATAGGATATATTCTAGTAGACCAACAAATGCCTAGTGGTCAACATATTGGTCGTAAAATATGTAAAATAGGATCCAAGTGGTTCTAGGACTGTAAAAAAGTTTCACTTTTACTCTCTGGGTTTGGTTAAAACAAAAACATTTTAAGTTGGAATATATTTAATTAAAAAGTTCTTGACTTTATATGTTGCAGTTTTACAGACTACTGTTGGCTCCCAGGTTGCTAGTGTCATAAAGCAGATGTTACAAATGGAAATGATTGAAGAAACATCCACCACCAATATTACTAGTAACATCTCTACTACAACTACTAATAATTATTACTGATTACTAATTATCACAATCATAATAGTCATGATACCAATACTAATACTCACAACTACACAAAAAGAAAAAATCAAGATAAAAGAATACAATTATGACATACACTAAAACATACACTATATGGACTAAAGTTGCTTCCACTCTTCTGGGAAGCTTTCTACAAGATGTTGGAGTGTCTCTGTTGGAATATTTGCCCGTTCACCCAGAAGAGCATTTGTGAGGTCAGACAGTGATGTTGGACAAGAGGGCCTGGCTCGCAATCCCCTTTCTAGTTCATCCTAAAGGTGTTTGATGGGGTTGAGGTCAGGGCTCTGTGAGGGTCAGTCAAGTTCCTCCAGCCAAACTCAACCAGCCAGGCCTTTATGGAGCTGCTTTGTGCACTGGGGCTCAGTCATGCTGGAACAGAAAAATGTTCTTCCCCAAACTGTTCCCACAAAGTTGGAAGAACACAATTGTCCAAAATGTCTTGGTCTGTCGAAGCATTAAGATTTCCCTTCACTGGAACTAAGGGTTCTAGGCCAACCCCTGAAAAACAACCCTATAGTATTATCCCTCCTCCACTAAACTTTACAGCTGGCACAATGCAGTCAGGCAGGTAACGTTCTCCTGGAATTTGCCAAACCCAGACTCGTCCATCCGACTGACAGACAGTAAAGCGTGATTCATCACTCCACAGAATACATTTCCACTGCTCCAGAGTCCACTGTTGGCATGCTGTACAACCTGACTTGTGGCAGAGGTGGCATCCTATGACAGTGCCACATTTAAAGTCACAGTGCTCATCACAATGATCCATTCTACTGCCAGTGTTTGTCTATCAAGAGTGCAAGGCTATGTGTTTAGATTTATCTACCTCTTAGCAATCTGGTTAAAACACCTGAACTCTTATATATATCTAGAAAAGTGCATTTCCTGAAGGAAACGCGGAATGGTTGCGCCGCGGTTACTATGGAATTCTATAGGAGGAATGAGGGATGAAAAAGGTACTCATAGAGGAGTGTGGGTCAGTATGGCTATGGATTAGAGCTTGTAGACCTGAGCTGAAAGAGTACATGTACTTTGGGGGTTGTTGAGAAGGAGACATATTAGGGCCTTGTTGCGAAAGAAAATAAACGGGATTCAAGGAAGGAATGAGGGATGAAAAATGACAAATAGCGGAGTGCGGGTCAGTATGGCTATGGATTAGAGCTTGGGGATGTGCCCTGAGTGAGTACATGCATTTCGGTGGTTGTCGGGCAAAGAAGCAATAGAGTTTGGGTGGTGGTAAAAATGAATTGAACTCTATGGGAGGAACAAAGGATGAAAAAATAACAAATAGAGGAGTGTGGGTCAGGATGGCTGTGGATTAGAGCTTGGGGACCTGCCCTGAATGAGTCCATGCATTTTGGTGACTGTTGGGCGAAGAAGTAATAGAGTTTGAGTAGTGCCAAAAACGAATGGGACTCACTGAGAGGAACGAGGGATGAAAAAATGACACAAAGACGAGTGCGGGGCAGTATGGCGGTGGATTAGTTCTTGTGCTAGCTAAGTCCAATTCCACCTTAAAAGTAGTTCCACCTTAAAACAATCATTATGTGTGCTGACACTGCTGAGCATTAGGCTGGGAGCGCGTGAGACATTGGGCTCTGTGCGTGAGTCTAGATGGGTGTGTGAGTTAACGGGCCATTGTGACATCATGTCTGGCATGCTGCCAACAGTCCGCTCAATGTAAGTCTATGGGAGAGACGAAAGAGGGAATAAAACGACAAACGGATGAGTGTGGGTCAAAACGACAGTGGATTCATGCTTGGGGGCCTGCCCTGAGATAGTGTATCAAAAACGGTGTCGATCGGGCAAGGAGAAGTGCCTTAGATTAGCATGCAAATGTTCACCCCATTCATTCTCTATGGGAAAAAATTCCGCAAAATTCCCTCGCTACACGGAATCCGTGCATCCGATCAAAAAGTTGTATACAAGCACACATCACACAATCAGGTCGGACAATCTGGAGTTGGAACGGGTGTTGATATCTCGAAAGCTGCAGGACTAGTTACACGGCAAAGAAACGGCAGAAAAATATGAATAAAAATAATAATAGTAATAATAATATAAATTGCATAACAATATAGTTGTAAATAAGAGGTGTGTCCCAATACTTTATTCTATATAATGTATTTAATGTCTGGCTATCACCTTAAGTCTCTATAGCAATTCTAAATAGGTGTAGTTCCAAAACTAAAACACAAACAATAAAAAAAAGTGTTAAGCATCATATATATATATATATATATATATATATATATATATATATATATATATATATATATATATGTCAAAATGTTAAATGCAGTCTACACACACTCAGATATACACCAACACACAGAGTAACTAATCTTCATAGGTGGTGCAGATGAAGTTGAGTTTCTGGTCCTCAGACAGGCTGACCCACTGCTGACCTCCTCTAGACTGCACCGCTCCAGTTCTCTCTACAGAGCTGCAGTCTTCTCCTCCTGTCCCGTTACCTGGAGCCCAGTTCTCGTAGCAGACGGAAAAGCCACTCACCCAGTACCAGAAACCCTGAGTGCAG